CCCCCCCCGCCCCCCGAGCCCTCCTACTCACGTCCGGCGGCCCCCAGGCCGGGGATGTTGGTGGGGATCTCCATGCCGTACTTGCACTTCTCCGCGTCGAGCAGGAGGTCGAAGCAGCCGGTGCCGGCCGGAGCGAGCTGGCCCAGCATGATGTTCTCAGACACCCCCTTCATGGGGTCGCTCTCTCCGTGCGCGGCCGCTTCCATGAGCACATCCACCTGAACGGCCGGACGACGGGGCCCCCGTGAGACCCGCCACTCCCAGTGCTCCGGGGCCGCTCCGCCCCCGGTGCACACACCCGCCCGACGGGGCAAGGGCAGCGGCAGCGCCTCCCCTCTTCCCACGGCGCTCCCTCCTCCTGCCCCCTCTGTCCGCCCCTGCTCCGTTCCGCCATTACCGTTTCCTCAAAGGAGCATTTCATGAGAGGTCCCGTATCCTGGCGGTTAACCCCGTGTCGCGTGATGGCCATCAAGTGGCCACGACAGGTCATGGTATCACACAGGAGAGCCAAGTGGCGGTAATTGACGTAGGAACCGTCAAAGGAGATGACGTGGTAGAGCTCTCGCTCCAAGGCCTTCCGCACGGCTTCGATGCCCAGCACCTGGCACGGGGTTGGGGGTGAAGGGTCAGGACCGAGTGACCGTGCTCTCCTCTTGCCACCCGCCCCCCACTCCCCATCCGGAGGGACGGTCGGGAGTCGGTGCGGCCCAGACTCGACAGTGGACTCGGGCACGGATAACCCTGAGCGAGGAGATGCGGTGCGGGAGCTTCCGGGCTCGAGCGGCTCACCGTGAAGATCTCCACGATGTCGTTGGACGTGGTGCGCACGGGGTCCACGTCCTTCTCACTCAGCACCCGCATCAGGCTCACACCGTCGGTCTCCAGGATCCACTCCTGCAGGGCCTTGAATTCTCCGTCCTCCGTGATGATGATCTTCTTCTTGTTGTCCGTCTGCGGCAGGTGCATGTACACCTGTGCGGACGGCGTGAGCTCACTGGGGGCAGGGGCGGGGGGCGGGGCGGGAGCTCACTGGGGGCGGGACGGGGCGGGAGGGCCGACCTTGCTGATCTGCTCAATGCCCTGCAGGGTCATGTCCGTCAGCATGTTGGACTCGATGCAGCGCAGGAAAACGTCGTCGTCCATCTTGTCCACCACCTCTTCTTCCTGTGCCAAGAGCGAAGCCAGAGTCTCGGAACCCTCATCGCGTCCTGGGCTCCCGCACGCCCCACCTCGGCGCCCCCAGGGAACCCACAAGTCGATGCGCATCTGTGCACACACGGCCCCAGGACTGTAACTGCACAAGCAGCACCACCCCCTGCCTTAATGGCACTCGCTACTTGCCCAGGCCGCTACTTCCTGGACAAATGAGCTCGTTCATGGAGATCTAGAGCATAAGATGTCGAGACACGTCAAAATCCTGGAGCCTACTCTCCGATAGTTCGACAGTAAGTTCTGAGTTTTTGTTATTAATACACCAGGCACCCCACATGCTGAACAGTATTTTCGGAGCGGTGCTCAGGAGGGAAGTCACCGGCCCAACGTTTCCTTGGGTCTTGCGATACCCGCTGGCGTGCCACTTTTCACGGGACATGGCAATTTTGCTGTCAACCTGCCTCTGGCTCTGCCCTCATGCAGGAGCCTCCCGGGAGGAAAGCCCAGTGACTCCCCTGCTTCGACACCATCTGTTTTTTCGACAGGGCCGCTGCCCCGGTTTGCCAAGGCTCCTGCGGCTAAAAGTCTGGGAATCCCTGCTACTCCCCCATCCCTATGGCAGCTGGCGTGCCTCGTCCCTCAACGCTTCCATCGGGACTTCTCTGGCCCGAACGAGGCTTCGCAGCCTTCCACATCCGACGCTGCCGATCCCCTAGGGCGTCCGTTACCTCCTGCATCTTGTTCTCGTCGCTGTTCATGATGCGGATCCGCAGCACCAGCTTCTCCGCGTTATCATCGTTAAAGATGCAATTCAAGTCATCGCCAAAACCTGGTGGGGAGCAAGAACTGTGAGAAAGACGGCCGCGACCACACCTCGCAGTCACTGTTCATCCACAGCTCTCCCAGATGGGGCTCCTTCTGGCTTCTCCTCCCTCTCACAGAACCGTCTAGAAGTGGGGAAACACTGAGCACAGAAGGCAGAGAGGGAGGGTGGCTCGCTGGGGATGGGCGGGCGGTGACGTGACAGACAGGGAGCCCAGGCAGCACCCCGAGCCGGGCCTGCCCCCGCCGCCTCACCAGCATTGATCTTTTCGGCAATCTGCTCCATGGTCAGCTTCCGGTCAGTCATGTGCTTCCGGTCCAGCTCCACCCGCAAAAGCCAGGGGGAGATTCGGGCCACGTCAAAGTCAGGCATCTCATAGTAGACGTTCACCCACTCCTGGTCCTCGGCCACCACTGTGCTCTGGGGGTTGGGGTCGTAGTAGATGGCTGTGTTGGCGGTCACCTTCCTCAACGTCGTATGCTCCAGGCGGCACAGAATGTCCTGGGACAAAGAGGGATTGATGACACGGCACGTGGGTGGCTCCAAAGGCCCCTCCAAACCCTCTGCAGGGAGGAGTTATTCCAGGGTGAGAGTTCTCCTTTTCATCCTGCCAGGAAGTCCATCGACCCACCCCCTACCTTGGCCCTCTCGGCGTCCCGAGCAGACTGGCCCAGCAGGAAGACCGTGAGTGACGGGGTCTTTGGCTTCTTGGAAATGTTGATCAGCTCCTTGAGTCGCGGCACGCCCAGGGTCACGTTCTTGGCAGACACACCGGCGTAGTGGAAGGTGTTCAAGGTCATCTGGGTGGCGGGTTCTCCAAGGGACTGTGCAGCCAGGGCCCCCACCATCTCCCCGGGATGGGCCTGCGGAGTAAGAAAGGCCAGCATCAGAATCAGCAAACCCCTCCCTTCTGGCTGAGAATGAGATGCAGTCAGGACGGGGACAGAGGCGTCTGCACGAGACAGAGACTTAAAGTGGAGTCCCGTGTACCCCTCCCTTCCTCAGTGCCTCAAGTGACACACGTTTGCCCCCAGGGGGTGCACACCCAGCAAAAGGCTCTCCCATCCAAAACCCCCATTTCTAAAGTACGCCAACATTACAGGCTAAATGTTCACTCTATAGCAGTTTTCCGAATAGGAAGCTCCCAATTGTCATCGAGGTTATGAGCACATAAAATTTAACCTTTCAACGCGAATCATACGGTACGTAGCCTTTTCAGACCGATTTCTTTCGCTTAGGTACAAGTTACCGTGTCGTCTTCTGATGGCTGGGCCCCTCACGGCTTTCGTCACAGAATAATATTCCTTTGTACGGGTTTAGCAGTTTGGTTTACCCATTCGTCAGTGGATGGACTTTCGGCCTGTTTCCACCGCCTGGCTATTAGGAATGATGGGGCCCTGAACACTTGTAGTGGGTCTTGTGGACACACGCTCCGCCGTCTCTTGGGGACACTCCTAGTGGGACTGCTGGTTCAAACGGGAACTCTGTGTCCCACCTGGAGAGGAGCAGCGGGCCCTGATCCCCAGCAGCGGTCCAGGAGACTTCTGACTCCTCCACATCCGCGCCCGCCGTCCCTTTATTCCCCACCGTAGCCATCCTAAACTCGTGGGGCGTGAACCGGTAGCTCACCGTGGCTTTCACCCACAGTTCCTTGACGGCTGAGGACGTCGAGCATCTCTTCACGTGTTTACCGCTCGCTTACGTGAACTCTTCGGGGGAAAGGTCTACTCGAATCCTTTGACATTTTTCTTTTTGTTGCTGACTCTCAATAGTCCTTCGTGTATTTTTCATACACAACCTTGTCACGCATGCGATTTGCAAATGTTTCCTCCTGTTCTGGATTGTCTTCTCATTTTCTTCCTGGTATCCTTGGATACTGGATTTACGTCAAATGTATTCGGAAGTACGCCTATAATTATAACGCTTCTCTCTTCCCACTACTCCCTACAAACCTTAAAGACAGTGATGGTGTGGCACCTGGCTGGCTCAGTCAGTCAGGCGTCTGACTCTTCATTTCTGCTCAGGTCATGATCTCACAACCATGAGTTTGAGCCTCATGTGGGGGCTCTGTGCTGACAACGCGGGGTCTGCTTGGGATTCTGTCTCTTCCTCTCTCTGCCCCTCTCCCACTCATGCTCTCTAAATAAATAAAGTTAAAAAAAAACAAAACAAAACCACTGGTAGTATACCTAGTTGCTGTCCTGCTCACTCTCCCCGATCCCCTACCTCCACCTAAACTGGAATTCGGCACACGGCAGGCACTCGAAGAAAATAAAGAACAATCCTCCCATTTTGTAGCGCAACCACGCAGCTTTTTTCCTGTACAACTGCCTGTCCTAGAGTGGTCACTCTGTCCCTCCAAGGCCCAGTTTTCGTGTCTGAAACATGGGGCTCCCAAGTTGCCGGGTGGTCTCGAGACCGCTAAGAACTGAAGCAGCCCCTCCGTGAACAAGGGCCATCATCGGCGGGGGGTGGGGGGGCTGCTCTCAGAGCCCAGACGCGTCAGCAGGTCAAAGGAGAAGAGCAAGGCTGAGAACACCACTCACAATGGCTTGGTTGAACTTGGACTCGATCTCTCCGAGCAGCCAGTCGAAGGCCTCCCCGCTGAGCCGGAACTCCTCGGCCATGCGGCGGGAGCACAGCGTGGAGCGCAGGTGGATATTGAAGAGAAGCGTGGCGTTCTCCTGGGCTTGCCGGCTCAGGGGGTCGTCCCCATTCACGATCACCAGCTTCTTGCTCAATTCCTTGACTCCTGGGACGGCCAAAGGAGGTAAAGAAGTTGCAGACCGGGGCCCAGCTCCCTCCTGTCCTCCCCGCCCGGCCCGGAGACCCCAGAGCAGCTACTCACCCTCTACGACCTTGATGGGGTGCAGGTCGGAGGGGAGGCGAGGGTTGATGTGGAAGATCTTCTGAGCGTTCCAGATCATGCGCAGCAGGTTGCAGGGGAGGACCACCTGTGGGAGGACGAGAGGGAGCGAGGATCGCGAGTGGGCACAGTCTCTCGGGGGCGGCAGCTCGCCAGCCCAGCCTTCCCGCCCACGCGTACCTTGCTGTCGCCGGTTGGGAAGATGACCCTGAGCACCTCCCGATCCTCACGCATCCGCTCAAATTCGCGCTCCAGCTCGTTCTGAATGTGCGCGTTGCTCAGCACATCCTTCACCAGGTCCTCCTGCAGAGTCCGCCGCAGGGCCCTCTCGTTGGTGTAATCGAAGCGGAACCTGCATGCGGCAGGAGGTGGAGTCAAGGGGCAGGCGGGCCCAGGGCCTGACCCCTGCCCGGGGCACCGAGGCTCCCGAAGGGGCAAGGTCTGCACAACGGGGCTGTGGAGGCGAGACTCTCGGGCAGGGAAACTGCAAAAAGGACCTGGGGCGGGGCAGCCCGTCTGGGTTTGCTTTGTCGGGTCATCGGGCACGGGCCGGGGACGGGTCTCAGCTCTGTTCCCCACCCACCCACTCCCACCACGCGGCGTCCGTCACCCAGGTGGGCGCGGGGCTCTGGGGGATCGAGCTGCCTGCGAGGCACAGTCCAGGCGAGCAGTCTGTGTGCAGGGAGGGGGGGCCCCCAGGAGGCGAGAACCACCCCCTGCCTCCTCCTCACTTCTTCTCAAAAGCCTTGTTGGACGGCTTGAGGGTGGCCAGGTTCTGGAACTCGACGCTCTCGCCGGCCAGGCCGTCCTCGCCGTAACGGAGCTGCACCACCTGGTTGATGGAGTTGCGCACGGTGGCGTCGTACTTCACCATCACCGACTCCATGGACTTGATGAGCCGCCGCTGGATGTACCCTGCGAGGAGGTCACCGGGGCCTCACCACGGGCCGCAGGGCAACGAGGCGAACACGTGGCCCGAAGAGCCTCTCTCAGAGCGAGCCCTGCCGGCGGCCCGAGGGCCTTAGCCCACCCGAACCTCAGAGGGGGCAGCCGGTAGCCCCCTGGTCCCCGAGGCCTCTCCGTGAAAGCCGAGCCTACCACCGACCGGAACCGGGCCCAGAAGAGTCCCTTAGGAACCAGCCACTGGACGGGGCACAGAAGAGTGCCCTAGGAGCCCCTGCGTCACAGTGCACGACAGAGACCCCGAGCTCCTCCCCTGCACATGGAAGGCTGCAGGGCCGTCACACGGGGGCGGCTCCCTGGCTGTGGCTGTCGTTCCCCCCACGAGGGACAAACCACATGTCCAGGAGAACGCCTACCCCTCCCTCCACGCCCTGCACCCGCTCCCCCCCCCCCCCCCCCCCCCCCCCCCCGCCCCCGCCCCGGCCGATACGCACGGGCCCGAAGGCCTCACCAGTCTCAGCTGTCTTGACAGCAGTGTCGATGAGCCCCTCGCGACCCCCCATGGCATGGAAGAAGAACTCGGTGGGCGTGAGGCCGGCCAGGTAGGAGTTCTCCACGAAGCCTCGGCTCTCGGGCCCGTAGTCGTCCTTGATGAAGTGGGGCAGGGTCCGGTGCTTGAAGCCGAACGGGATCCGCTTGCCCTCTACGTTCTGCTGCCCGACGACGGCGATGACCTGGGAAGTGAGAGGCGGGGTGCACCCGGCGCCCTCTGCACCAGGAGCGGGGGCTCCCAGCACTACCCCCTCCGCCGCTCCCAGCCTCCTCTGCGGCCCAGGTCTGGAAAGACAGGGCTCCCCACCTGGGAGATGTTGATCTTGGAACCTTTGGCCCCAGACACGACCATAGACTTGAAGTTGTTGTATTCAGACAGGGACTTCTGGGCGGAGGAGCCGGTCTTGTCTCGGGCGTCGTTGAGAATGCGGTTCACCTGGTTCTCAAACGTCTGCCGCAGAGTATTCCCCGGGGTGGGCTCCAGCTCGTTGTTATGAGCCTTCTCGATGACCTGGGTAGTGGGCGGGGGCAGACCTCAGTGCCCGTGTCCTACTCCCCTTCCCTCACACCCGCTGGGCTCTCGCGGACATCACGTTCAAAGTCTCTGAGTGTTCTGCCCACCTCTATCACATCCTGCTTGGCCTTCTTAATCGTGTTCTGAATGTCCTGGTAAGTTTTAGAGTCCGCAATGGAGTCCCCGATGCCAATGGTATGACCTAGGCAGAAGGAGAAGCATCAACACCCTCTGAGGGCTCCCCAAAGACCTGGGATGGAATCACAGCCAAGAGAGTGCCAAACCCAAGCAGGGAAGAGAAAAGGCTGGAGAAGAGCAGTAAAGAGACGGAGTAAGGATTCAAAGCAGGTTTGCTAGAACCTTCTACTCACCCTCGATGAGCAGCCAGTTGTTAATGACGGTCTGAATGTTGGAGTAGAAGAGGCGAGTGATGTCGTGACCCATCTCCAGGTACGAGATGTGGACCAGCGAGCCGGCAGACGTGCCCAGGGACTTCTTACACAAGATGCCCATGATCAGCTCCCCGTTCTCCACCACCACCTGTGCACAAAGCACCCTCTCAAGGCCCCTGCAGTGGCTCCCCTGGAAATCCCATGGATTTCAGCCAGAAGGCCAAGAGGCAAGGTGGCGGCCAGGTCCGAATGCTGTTCCCACACGCGCAGAAACCAGGTCCTACCTTGGTGTCCCCGGGAGAGATGTGCTTGTAGGGACCACTGTCCTCATCGTCGGGATGGGTGCTGTGGGTGCGGATGCAGTTGATGTGGCCCGGTATGATGAGGGAGAAGATCTGCTTGCCCGTCCACAGGGGACGGGGCTTCAGAATGGCTGGCTGTGGGACCTTCCCGTCCCACGTGGACAGGAACATCAGGAGGTTCATCACCTCACCCTGGGAGGGAAGAGCAGGCCAACAGACTTCAGAATTGCAGGCCCCGCCCTTGGGAATGTCACCTGCCCAAGGGTGACAGCCAGATTCTGGAGGCAGAGAGATGCCAGGAAGTGTTTTCCAAAATTTTAATTGAAAATACAATCGCTGGGGCGCCTGGGTGGCGCAGTCGGTTAAGCGTCCGACTTCAACCAGGTCACGACCTCACGGTCCGTGAGTTCGAGCCCCGCGTCAGGCTCTGGGCTGATGGCTCAGAGCCTGGAGCCGGTTTCCGATTCTGTGTCTCCCTCTCTCTCTGCCCCTCCCCCGTTCATGCTCTGTCTCTCTCTGTCCCAAAAATAAATAAACGTTGAAGAAAAAAAAAAAAAATTTAAAAAAAAAAAAGAAAATACAATCGCTAGATTTTGGGTTTTTCTTCTTTTAAACAGTAAGTACAAGTTACTTTAAATAATTAGGAAGTAACCGGGGCGCCCGGGTGGCTGTCAGTTGTGTCCAACTTCGGCTCAGGTCATGACCTCGCGGTTCATGAGTTTGAGCCCCGTGTTGGGCTCGATGCTGTCAGGGTGGAGCCCTGCCTCGGCTCCTCCGGCTCCTTCTCTCTCTGCCCCTCCCCACTCATGCTCTCTCGCTCTCAAAAATAAACGAGCAAAAAACGAATTGAACAGCGAGCTAAAGTGGTAAACGTTTCGGCCCGTGATCCGCCTGACGCGAGTCAAGGCAAGAGTCCTGACTCTCCCTCCCAATCATCCCCTCGCCGCCCTGGGGCCCCTCTGCCCGTCCCAAGTCAGGCTCCCTCCCCAGGGGCACACACCCGCTCCAAGAAGACGTCTCTCTTTGTGAATTTGCGCACTGCAGTGAGCGTGTCCTGCACGATGCCCATGACGGGGCGATTGCTCTGGGGGGTGACAATCATGCGTGGCACCATGGCGAGCTCCTGGATCTCCGCCCGGGTCTCCAGAGACTGTGGCAGGTGCAAGTTCATCTCGTCCCCGTCAAAATCAGCATTGTATGGAGTGGTCACGCTGCGGTGACAGACGGAAGCCGGGGTCAGGAAGACGCCTGCAGGGAGGCGTCAGGGAGCAGCCCGGCCCCGCCTGCCTCCCTCAGCCAGGACGCTGACCTCAGATTCAAGCGGAAAGTCGACCAGGGCAGGATGCGGACCCGATGCCCCATCATGGACATTTTGTGCAAAGTCGGCTGACGGTTGAAGATAACAATGTCTCCGTCACACATGTGCCGCTCCACCTGTCGGAGGAAGTGTGGACAGGTCTTAGGGAAGGCGCTATGAGTAGGAGGACAGGACCGTGGGCCTGAAACGCTCTACACGTGGAAACAGACGGCACTGTGGGGTTAATTTCACGTGGAACACGTGTCAACCACAGGCTTCGGGCCGGGTTATCAGCGATGACAAGGCACAGTTATCCACCAGCCTCAGGGAACTCAGCTGTGAGAGAAAGCCCAGAGACCCTGGACACGAAGCCTCCTGTTCTGTTCCTCCCCTGGATCTCCCTTCCCTGCCACATACACCCCTCGCACTGCACTTGGGTTTATGGGACCCCCACCCCAGATGCCCACGGCCAGCAGCTCTGGCTCCACTAGGAGGCGGCAGTCTCAGAGTCTCCACGCACCTGGATCCTAACCAAGAGGACAGGATCCCCCCACCCCCAGGGCCCCCTGCCAGAGAGCTTCCTGCTCAGGGGACAGAGGCCCTGGCCTGTCACGTGCCTTGTAGCCGGTCTGCAGGTGAAGGTCACTGGGCTTGGGGTGGAAACGCAGGTCGATACGATCGCCGTTGTCCCGGATGATGTACTTGGCGCCCGGGTACTGGCTGTTCCCCCTGCGCACCAGCTCCTGAAGTCTAAGGAGGACAGAGGCACGATGAACCCACACCTCCCAGGAGCCCCCGCTGCCTCACTCAACCGGAGCTCTCGGTGCAGACCCACTCCCCTCGTGTGTCCACAGCCCCCCCGGCAGGGTCCCAACGCAGAGCCCACCTGTCGATGTTGAAGGGCGTGACGATCTCCGCAAAAGTCATGTTGGCAGCGATGGAGCGGGGCACGCCGACCTGGTCGATGGAGAGGTTGGGGTCGGGGGTGATGACGGTGCGGGCCGAGAAGTCCACTCGCTTGCCCATTAGGTTCCCCCGGACCCGGCCTTCCTTGCCCTTCAACCGCTGCTTCAGGGACTTGAGGGGGCGTCCGGACTTCTGCATGGCCTGTGAGGACATACGGGGAGGTGGCCGCAGTCAGCACGGCCCCTCCTCCGGGGCAGGGACGCAGGGGCGCAGGGCAGGCGGGGGGCGTGCGGACTCACGCGGGGCAGGCCGGGCAGCTCGTTGTCCACCATGGTGGCCACGTGGAACTGGAGGAGCTTCACGTCCTCGGCGATGACATGTGCTGCCGCGCCGTTCTGCTCGTTCCGCCGCAGCTGGTTGTTGATCTTCACGATGTCGGCCAGCTTGTGCGTCAGGTCGTCCTGCGGCGGAAAGTCGGCGTCCTCACCGCCAGGCGCTCGGGGTCTCCCTCACCCCCGGGCGGGCGGGCCCTGCCCATCCCTCCTCTCCCAGGTACAGAGGAACCTCTGTGACCGTCACTGCATTAAGGGCGTCGTTGAAAGGCGCACGGCTAGCAAGCGGCGGTCACCCCTGCACGCCCGCGCCCGCGCTGTTCCCTGTCCCCCCCCCCCCCCCCCCCCC